GGTGGACAGCCAAACCTGAGGCCAAACCTGAATACCAGACCAATCCCCGCCTTAAATAAAAAAACAAAAGAAGCTCCAGGGGTGGAGAGGGTGGTGGCCAGGCCTCAGGAGGAGGGCGTAGGGTGTAGTAGTCATCCATTGGGAGGTCAAATGGATTGCRTGGATCCTGCTGCAGGAATCGCCTAGAGGATGGCACGAYGGTACCATGACATATGCTAATGAGCAGATCGCAGGTCGTGATCTGCGGCGGCAATGCGTACCGGACTAACCCCRATGTCTCTATGCAGACACGACCCTGACTCTAATGTTAAGGACGACCCGGGCACAGGTGGGGTCCAATGGTCCATGCATATGCAGTCATAATACCCCATCTGTGCYTCATCCCGCAGGCTCTATGGGCTACGAACTGCCCTTCCACTAAKAAGCAACATTCCGCCCTCCCCTATCCTAAGGATCATGCCTTCCTACCCCAGGCTCCCCAAGAATCCACAGTACCGACTAATTCCCCCAATGAGAATTCCCACAGACTTCAACCTGGATGAAGCACCACCCGCAGGCATCATGAGATACCTGTGGGATGAGAAGTACCAAGAACCCGCCCCATGCTAACACCCAGAGTGTGTGCATAAAATTATCCCCCCCAAAATGGGCCCTACCGTAGTCTAAGTTCGCTCTGTGTGGACTCTCGTACGGGTGCCATAGTGACGGTAAACATGCTAGCTGTACCCAGGCTCGACCATGGCACCCCCACTGACTAGTACATACTGGCGAGACTGACAGATCGGAGGGTCCAAGTGGCCACGCAGAAGTATCGACGGTTTCGACAGTTTTGGCAGTTTTTGTGGTTATCGACAGTCCAGGYAGTTTTTTGGTTATCAACAGTCTAGGCAGTAAACCCTCCCCCTACCCTATCCCCCCCCCCGGCCATGGTGGAGCCAAGATAAGACTCTGATCATCAGACCCCCTAAGACCAAGCACTCAAACAGCCCTCCCTATGGCCCTATGGCCCTATCCAGCATACTACAACCATGGACCTAGACCCCTTGGGCAGTGCGCAGGCAGTGTCTGTGTACATCTTACCATGCGTCGTCCCAAGGGGGGGGGAGATGAAATTGTGAATGGCTTGTGCGTTATGAAAGCGCTTACCGGTGTACATGCGCGAGGCAGCGGAGTTTTGAACCCGCAACCTCATACCACAATGCACATTTCCAACCGGTGCTCTAACCACTGAGCCCAAGGTTGAGCGCACTCGACACCTCACAATGAGAGGACTCTCAAGAAGGAACACACAACCTCACGGTAAGAAGTGTCGAAGAGGGTAGATAAGGTTAAGAGCAACGTACCTCAAATAGCTGCCCCCACCCTCAGAGATAATCTCACCAGATGACCAGATGGCGATTGCAATGACCAGTCACTGCATCGGCACAACCAGCATTGAACGCCGTTCCACCTCAGCATCAATCGCACATTAGATAGTTCTCATCACACTGTCCAGACCACATACACCTCACGTAGCCTTCCTGGCGATCCCCTCACCTCCTGGGTTGCCACACACTCGTCTCCACCCTCCTCACTACACACCACTTACGGCCAAACTCGCCCAGCAGACCGCATGTATGTACCGTATAAGGCAGAAGACAAGCGCCAGATAAGCGCAATCGTACCACAGCTCCGATACCAAATTGCAAGGAAGATGAGCAATAGCGAACTTCAGCAATCAAACAGCATCATACATACGAGTCCAGATAGTCTTGACCTCGAACCAACAGCAGAATTGCATCACGAGATTCACCAAATAAGAACACACCAAGAGTTCATAATTGACAATGCTGAAATAGTCCCATCATCATCAACGAAGAACCAGAGTTGATATCCTATCTGGCGCTCGGCGCCCAGACTACATGTGGCAGATCCTATCTAGCCTATACTACGAAGCCGAAAGATGACGTCAACAGCATTCCCGAAGTACGAGCATATGGCGACCAATGTCGCACGCTTCCAGCACCAGGTATGTCTCGCGCTACACTCACAACCTCGTTCCCCAACGCACAGATGCTACTAGCACCCAAGGACCACCCTGCGCCTCACCCAGCTTACAGCAGCGCAGCTCGGCTATGGCTGCGTGCTCCTTCCCTGCTCGCCCGTGAGAGCGTAGGCGCCAGCCAGCAAATAGCGCAGCAGCGCTTGTGCAGCATGCAGCCAGCACCCGAATGCCGAATGAGGAGGCAGGCCCTTCCCTATATCGAAGTGGCCTGCCTGCGTCCAGTCCCAGGAAGCTTCCAGTAGGCCCCGGTAGCCTGAGGCCCAGCACGATGAGAGCAGGCCCTGGCCCTGTAGTGGTTGCATGTGCCCAACTGCCTTCGGCCTTTGTTTGGCCCGGTACCCGTATCCAGCCCAGGGCCTGCTTCACATTCATTCGCACAGGCGGCCCAGGGCCTGGGTTCACTCAACCAACTGGCGCTGCGCAACTGCCTGAATTTCCCTGAGTTGCGTAGTGGCCAGAAAAGGGCTTTGAGGGCCTCGTCGAGCCTGCCTTCACTTAGGGCGGCCGACGGGCTGCAAAAATGGGGCCTTATGGGGCTCATAGAGGCAATGGCCTCGCACTGTGTTCTCGTTGTCCATATCTCTGAGCTTTGAGTGGGCGCTCTGCGACAGCGTGAATCACCGTCTGTTTGCATATATGCGAAGTGGAAAAGAAAACAAGTCTGATTGCACAACCTTACATCTCCACTCTATTGCCTTTCTATACGGTTTTCATTTTATGGATGGTTAGTGATGATATGTGGATGGAATGAGAGAGAGAGAGTTTGGGGTTCTTTGAAAACACACAGAGACACAGAGAGAGAGAGGGAGAGAGGAAGGGAGGGAGGGAGGCAGGCAGGGAGATGTCAACAATGGCAATCCCAAAGTTGCTGTGCTCTCTCTCTCTCTCTCTCTCTCTCTCTCTCTCTCTCTCTCTCTCTCTCTCTCTCTCTCTCTCTCTGTGTGTGTGTGTGTGTGTCCGCCCATCCGTCGAGTTACTTTTTTATTTCCTTGGGCAGTTTCTTTCAATAAAATAGGATTGTTTGGATTTTGTGTGGGTCGGTGAGTTAGTCCATCAGTCCGTTGGTCAGTCCGTTGGTCTGTCAGTCAGTCGCTGGGTTGCTTAGTCGTTCGCTCAGTCTGCATTTCTTCAGTTCCTTAAGTCGCTTGCTGATTCTTGTTTGTGCTGTGTTTTCTGGTGACTGCAGAGCATCAATGAGGTGCGGATCTCTGCACTCTGTGCGAATCTGGTTCTGTCTCTCGTTACACGTTATCGCCTGGAGCAGGAGGCATTTCAACCATTTCCAGATAATGATGAAACGCTAGAAAAGAAGGTACAGATTTCACTCTTTGCTGTCACTCTCTCCCTCTCCTATCGTCGAGCCTCTCTGGACTACTCGCTAAATGTGGGAAGTGGTGAGTGTCTTGTGTTCCATTGAAATTTTGAACACGTAGTCAGAGGTGTTCACATTTGGCGAACAGCAGAGCAAGGCCTTTGTTCTTGGCATGCTATTCTTTTTGTCTTTTCTTGGAATCAATGCTTCAAGCAGGGCACCGGTGGCATGAGTGGGTTGGACATTGGGGATTTAGCAGTCATTTGGACGCATGACAGATGGGAAACAACAAGGCATCGCACATGGTAGGTGGCAAGTGGTGGGTATGTGACAAGTCACATGTGACTCATGTTCCACTCCACCCATCAGATTGCCTCTGCGAGCCTTCATTTATGACTGATGGAGGCCATCAGATTGCCTCTGCCAGTTTGTAATTTATGACCAATGCACAGGACGATCTCGCCTTTGGCCTAGCCATTCCTGTACAGGGTTCAGAAAGGCACTGCCTACAGAATGGCCCGGGCCTCTGGCCTATGACCTTTGTTGGACGCCTTTGTAAACAAATGTCTGATCTTTGGGCCACGTGGGAAGCCAAGAGGGTCCTGAAGCAGGCATATGAGGCAGCCAGCCAGCAGTAGGCCCTAAATTGTGTGGAAGGAGTTAACCCGGTGGGGCCTGGCTGTGGCATTAGGCCTGCCTGGGCGCTCACTGGTGTAACCAACCGGTAGTGCCGACGGCAGCTACTAAGCGTCTGGACTGCATCCAAAACAGTCACAATCAGGCCAGTTGGTACCTCTGCTGTTTGTCCTGTACGTTCTTACAGCTGGAGCAGCACCAAGATGCACTGCTAGCCAGGGAGAGGGCAGCGCGCCCAGCAGCCACAGCTAGGTGCTGGAGAGAGAGAGAGAGAGAGAGAGAGAGAGAGAGAGAGCATGTTCCTTACAACCTAAAGATGATGCTTCGACAAAGAATGGAACAGCAGCCAGACCCTCCAAACTTGACCCCAATGGCTGATTCAGAACGTTCAAGAGGTCCAAATGACTTATAATTTTATTATATTTTATATCCATATTTCCATCAGTCTGGTTTTCTCTTTCATGAATGTTGATATCTGTGAATTGATTCATTATATGAACCAATAATTGTTACGACATGCTCTTTACGGTGTTCTTCTGATACCGTCAGGATTTGGACTCATGATTTGTTTACTAGCAGTTACATGTGTATGCCATTCACGCACATGGGCTGTCTAATCACATGGATTATTCAGTATTTATAACTATTTTACTGTTTACGTTTCTGTATTTCTACCGGGCCATCCTGTTCTCCCCAGGCAAATGAAGCTGCAAAGAAACTTGGGGGCGAATTCATGGAGACCACGCGGGACTTTTCTGGGACCAGTGCAGTCGAGGAGTCCCGGAAAGAGCTCTCAAGGGCAATGGAGGCGGAGCAGGCTCATATGCTTCGCAGGAACACAGCGCTAATGACAGCTCTCTGCTTTGATCCGCTAACCAATGCCTACAGAGAATTGCGTATGCAGGTTGGTTTTCCAAGACCCACTGCCTACTTGTTTTTGATTTCCCCCCTCACTTGCCTGGAGGTTGTTAGAATACGTGCCGTGAGCAATGCGAAGCAGAAGGCATGGTCATCAAAGTTATATCCGGCGTGGATGCCCTAGATACAGTACAAGGACGACCGAATGCATGTGGAGGCAGATGGTAGTTGACTCTAAGGGATTAGGCATGTGCTTGGCAACACAGTCCTATATTTTGCATGTTTTTGTTGTGAAATATTGTGCAAGCAGCAAGTATGATCTCTCTCTCTCTCTCTCTCTCTCTCTCTCTCTCTCTCTCTCTCTCTCTCTCTCTCTCTCTCTCTCTCTCTCTCTCTCTCT